TAAACTGTAACGTCAAAATTACCACTAAGTTGGTACCTAAATTATCTTATAAAATAAATAATAAAATAAAAATAAAATAAAAATAACCCAACCCAAAACCCTCCTCTTCAGTTTTTGTGGCAGAACTCAGAAGCAAGCGGCTCTGTTCAAGCAGAAGCAGAAAATAGAGAAAGACGATCTTTTTATTCAGTCAACCAAATCTAAATCCTAAAACTATGGAACCCACCTAAAGCAGTTTTCTTCTAGCTTCGAGTCTTCCCCCAGGAGGTACGTACCCAAGCACCATCATAAACTCTATCTTCCTGAATAAGCACTATAATTTTGAGTTAAATTCTTCTTCGTTCTTAATTATTTGAGAATTATGTCTGCGCTGTAGCAAAGCTAGGTGATATGGGTGGAGCACTTCTAGGCTTGCCAGGACCCTGGGCCAAGGACAACAGTGAGCCCTCTGATCATTACACCACAAAAATTGGTGGTCTTCCGGTCAGTTTCTGTTCTTCTATCATCCCCCTTTTTTGTTCCAAGTAATTTTTTTTTTAATTAAATGATTTCTTATGTTGATTTGTCTGCTCAACAGGATTGGCCTTTCCTCAAAGATGCCATAAACCCAGGTCTTCTAGAATGCAGTCAATGTGGGAGTAAGCTCTGTCTTGTTGCACAGGTTTATGCTCCAATTTCGATTGAAGATTTAAAGATAGAGGAGCGTTTTCTTCTTGTTTTTGGTTGTGTGACCCCTACTTGTGGGGGAACTCCTCTTAGGTTGTTGTTCTTGTTCTGTTTTGTTTATCATCATTGGTAACAAATTGTTTTTCTTTAACCATCCTTTTTCCTTTAATGGGGTTGTGTAGTTGGCGAGCTGTTCGGATTCAGAAAGTAGAGAATGTGAATGAATCGTCCCCCATAGTTACCCCAGAAAAATCTGAATCTCCTGTTTCCGTTTCTACAAGTAAATGGTGGGGGAGTTTGGATGATGACGATGATGAAGATATAGATCTTGAGGAATTGGGAAAAGCATTTGCAGAAACTGCAAGCGTGACTCCTGAATCCAAGAAGTCAGATAGCAAGCAACATACTAAGGGTGTTGTGAAGCCTTCATCTTTAAGTCCACAAACAAGAGTAGTAGATAAGGACACACCAGGTACTGGTTGCCCATTCATGTTCTATTTATTACCTGGAATTCACTGTTTTATTTAATTGCACACATGGTATTTGTCTCTGCATTTACTGTAGATGCCATGTTTTATTCATTCTGTTCAAGAGGGAGGGTAGGTGCTTTTCTGTTTCAGTTTGCTGTAGGCAGTCTTCATTTGAATATGTTTTATTCATTCTGTTCAAGATGGAGGGTAGTTGCTTTTCTCTTTCTGTTTGCTGTTGGCAGTCTTCATTTGATTTTTGAATTGATATGAATTGATGTCTAATTGTTTTGTTGAATCAATTGTGTGCTACTTTTTTGCTTGTCAAGGATTTTACTTGGTCATTCTTTATTACAGTGATGCCTTGCTTTTACATTTATACTGAGGACGAGCCATCCTCAAGGGGTGTTTCTTCTGTATGTTCAAGTTACTCATCACTTTCCATCAAGGAGAAAGATAGTGATATTGAAGATCAAGGACAAGAAGAAACTTGGGAAGCAGAAAGTTATGAGTATGATAAAGCTTTGACTGCTGACAGGACTTACCTTAAGTTCAAGAAAAAATTGGATGCATCCCCAGAGCAATGTTTCAGGTGATTGGCCTCTAAAATAATATAATAATAATAAGAGAAGTCAAAAGTGAACGATATTTGATTTTACCAATACTGCAGACAAGAACCTCTCACTACTAAATAAAAAGCGAAAACAGAGGAACAGAGAAACATCTTGTTTAGCCTCCGGTTTTCCTCAAATATGAACCAATGCATCTATATATTCTTATTGGAAGATATTTACCTTTGCTTTTGCTTATTTCACTGCACCTGATTGATCAGATATGCATTTGGTGAGAAGCCACTGCTGGCTACAAAGGAGATTGGTGACCCTGGAAAGTGCAAGCTTTGTGGTGCTTCAAGGTGCTTTGAGATGCAGCTGATGCCACCATTAATATATTTTCTTCAAGAAGAAGCAGATGATCTTCAGAAAAAGATTCTGGAAAACTGGAACTGGTTGACGCTTGCTGTCTATACTTGTTGCAAGGTAGATATTCCACTCCTTTGATCAGTTTGGATTTTTACCTTTCAATTTTCTTTCTTCAAAATCCAATTCCCATAACCAACATTCACAATAAGTAGCCAAATCTTATTTTACCATGATTGCTTGCTGTGCTTTTTAAAGTAACAATTATTATCGCCTTATGCTATTAGGCTTCTTTTTGAGAAATCCAGCTGTGAGCAGAACGGCAGATTGCTCAAATGTTTTTATCCTGCATTTACCTTTCTGTTTTATGTTTCCTTGCAGAGCTGTTCTAAGAAGTCTGATCAAGGCGAGTCTACCTGTGGTGGTTGGGTTGTGGCAGAAGAGACTGTTATTCTGCAGTCTGATGAAACCTTACAGGAATGTTCTCAACTTGGTTATTTCTCATGATTTATAGCATTACTTTTGGAAAAGAGAAATGAGGGGTGCATTGAAGTCAATTTTTTTCTTCGAATGAATGCTTAGTTGCTATTCATAATGATGAGTCATGATAAATTGTGCTCTAATTAAGCTGTGCTATTCATTGGCCTTGCAATTTTCAAACACACAGCACAGGGATTTGCCTCTTCTTGTTTTGGTAATATTTTTGTAGTTTTACCTAACAGTTACTCATTTGATTGTTACTATATGAGATTTTGAAGGCATTGGAAGGTTGTAGAAACAAAAATGAATGGAGATATTAAATTTATTTTCTCTAATGTGGATTCTTTTATTCAAAATCTCCTTAGAGAAGAGGAGAAGACAGATGGGAAGGATTGTTGGAATATACAAAATTCTCCCTCCAGATCCTTCCCTTCTAAATTTAAAAACATCTGAAAAATAAGTTTTCAAATGAATTGTCCTTTGTTGGCTCTTTTCCAACTCTCAGAAATAGGACATAATCCTGGAAAGGCATATTATATTCTCTGTTACCTGCCTTTCTTTCAGCTAAAATTATGGTCAGCCACCAGACTTTGCAAAGATTAAAGGAAAATGAAAAGGTGAATAATAAGAACATGAGATCTTAACATTTAGCAGAGGAGTCTAATACACAACCATTTCATGCTAAAAACAGTGGCACGTAACTGATGACAATTCCTTTCCATAGATATTCCATGTTGATACTTTTACATATTACAACAGCACAGAGCTGGGTCTCTATAGTCTAGACCATTTTGGTAACCTAGGATTAAAGATAAACTTAGTATAACTCTTCAAGCATCAAGGGGACTCTGCATGTTGATGAAAAGGCCACTATTCAAATTTCTTAATCAGGGACAAGTCATTCAACATTTTCTCAATAGCCTCGTCATCATGGGCACGTCCTTTAGTCTGCAAAACAAAGACAGCTTGTTGGTTAATGAATAAAGTTGGACACCAATAACTAAATTTTATTTATACACACGGCGAAGTTTCAGAGATAAAAAGTTCCCTGCAAGGTGTTGGGGGTGGCAATGGGACATGGTCTGGTTACAGAATCCATGTATCATTACTTCTCATTTCTAAATCATCCTTCATTTTTTAGACAACAAAAAGAAAATAGTGCAGAAAAGTTTACTCTAATGGAGAAAAGCATGCCCAGAAAAAAAATATACCTTGATAGAAGGTACCATAGCAATAGCTTCCTCCACAGTTTCAGGGCATAGATTGCCAAGAACACAAAGCTGCATTGAATAAGGGGCATGACATTAAATGGTTTTCTAGGTGAGAGCACAATCCTTAAAATTTACAGGCTTGCAAGTTGCAACCACTCACCTCAAATTCAGCTAACTGGTATCTACTCAGTATTCTGAATGTCAGTTAAGAATCCATTGAAGCAAAGAAAAGTAATGATCTAAGTTACATGCTTTACTGGAAAAGTAATAACCCCATTTTTTACAAGAAAACAATTCCACGTCCTGCTAATTAGATAAAATAGTGGCAATTAATATCATCACCTTCCAGTTGCATAAATTGAGTCACTGAGAAGATTATTAGACAAACGTTTACAAACTAAAAGCCATACGAAGTGACAGACAGGTCCACCATCTAAACCATTGTCAGAGCTTTCTAGCAAATTACTTCTAACAATGCAGATAAAAGAGACATAAAAATTGTTTATTGTTTTTTGCCTAACACCTAGGGTGACTTAGACCTCAAGTTTGCACTAGTAATTCTAGACTCTGCAGACTTCAACTAGTTCGTACAGAGATAGGTTGAGAAGCAAGTCTGCTACTCTGCATACCAAGATTGTCATAAGCAACACAAGAGACTGGAAAAAAATACTTCTGATTTTGAGAAAAATTGCTCATGCTCAATAATAAACTTGGCAAATAGGAATTAACTTCTACGAAATTCCATCTTTAATAGACAAAAGTATAACTGACAAGCGAAAGCATTAGGAATATGCACTGCCAGCAAGTATTATTGTGTCTGATGGTAAATTGGTATGTGCTTATGAATGCAAACAGAAATAATTTATCAGTTTCAGAAACTTCAAGGATACTCTCGAACTTGTCTAACAGCATCTGGATTCTTATAGCGCCTAAAGCGCTTCACATACTGCAGTGACTTCTCAAAAACTCTGCAAACAGAAATCAACAATACAAATAAGAAATAACCAATTGGGCTGTTTACAAAGCATGCAAATTCTTCCCCTGATGGAATATCAATTCAATACCGAGTCCTTAGCATCTAATCTCTTTTCATACTATGCTAAAGGACAATAAAACTATATACTACCTCATGAGCTAAAAAGTCTAAAACTTTGACATACAGAAGCTCATATAATCACCCAGTTAGCAACTAAGTTCCTTAGTAAACCATGAATCTTAGTTAAACTATTGACCAAAAGATGAAATAATCAAGAATAAAATTGAAAACTTAATAAGTGCAAGATACCCACTGGGAAACTTGATTCATAGGATCCTCAGACATCTGCTGAAGCTGCTCGTACTTGTGTTCCAGAATCAATGCAACTTCACAATTCATCAAACACTTTGCCTTCAAGAACTCTATGGAGGGACAAACAAAAAGAGCAAGAATTACGAAATCTCGTTAGTTTGTTCAATTCCCGCTACTGCATTCGTAAGTGGATATGAAGAAAAGGATGATATGGTTACCGTCTCCGATTTTGAGCTCTCCAGCATTTTCTTCCTCTTCCCCAGACATTGTTAGGGTTTCTAAGGTTGACGAATGACGAGGGAGGACCAGAGAAAGACAGCAGAAGCCAAATCAAAATACCTGCTATGCATGTACTTGCCTTCAGTTTATATATACATATATAGTTGGACTTCGAGTTGGAGTTGAAGAGTTTGGGGCTCATCTCCCAATCACAAAATTTTAGGAGTACTCTTTTGCACCAAAATAATTGTTTATTATTATTATTAAATTTTTATAAAAGATTTTCTTTTTATCTTTATTTCTTTTAGAGGAATATAATTAAATATATAAATTATTTTTAAAATTTTAATTAATAAAAATAAAAAATTAAAAAACAATAATTATTTTAAATACGAGAGGATAATTTCTTTTTATATATGTAATAAGTTAACGTGGAGACCGGAGATTTTTGTGCTTTTAAAATGCTTGAAGACACCAAGCTTTATTGAAGTAGTTATTTTTCAGCAGTGGAATCAATGGAATGTAATTTGGTTGACAATAATG